TCTCTGCGCCCGATTGGCCGCGGCCCGAGGCGCGGCAGCCGGGCGAGTTCTGGAATGGAGGCTGACGATTGAAGGGCCCAGGGGACATGCGAAAGCCATCGTACTCCTCATCTTTTTCCATTGAATGCATGCTCTCTTCCCCTGACTGTTCATTGCGCGCTGCATTGCCTGCCTGTTGAAGAAATGGACCCCGCCGGCTGGGCCGGTGGGACTATTTCCTAATGGGCTCTCTTCATCGTGGCTCGCGCGGACTGAGATTCTCAGGCTCGAGTGCGCTGAGGCGATCTCTGATGGCCTCCCGTGGGCAGCTCCGTCTAAGCCAGGCTCCGTGCCTGGCGTCTGAGCTCTTTCTTCTAGCTGCTTTCCCGCGGGGAAATCTCCCTCCGCCAGATCAAACACCGACTCCGACACTGGCCTTTTGGGAAGGTTGAGAGGAGGAGGTCGCCCTCCCGGGGCGCCATTCTTGGCGGCGCGCTCGGGGCGATTCTGCTGCACCCCTCCTTCGAGCGATTCTTCCTTCGGCCCCCGGCCCAGCGAAGCCAGCGGCCGAGCCGCCGTTTCGGCTGAAGACCAGCTTTCTGCCTGGACATTGGCTATCCCTGCAATATGTTCCGGCATGGTCTCCTGCCCCCCGTGAAGATAGGTTTCGCGGGGAATGCTCAGGGGGCTTCGACGCGGCCATGGCTTGGAAAGTAGATTCCGCTAAGCGGATAAGAGAGATGCGCGGTGGGGGGGAGGCGGGCCGGCCGACGACGCGACGACGACGAGGGGGCGGCCCTCGGCGCGCGCGCGCTAGCTCGCTCCTATTTCCTATACCTCTCGAATCTGAGTGGCTGCAGATGACCAGTCAGTACGCAAGTAGTGATGGCAAGGGCGGCGCGATGGCGGTGCGGAGAGGAGCATGTTTACTATATATCAAGCGCCCCCGTCGGCGTTGGCGTCTGCGTCGTCGGCTTCCCGTGAGAATGAGCTTCTACTGCTTCTTGCACTGCTGCCTTCAACTCCTTCTGTGATTGAGACCGCCCAGAGCATGACGTAAACCGTCCACCTCCACCTCTGACTCATCCATCTTATCAGACATGTTCGCGGTGGCCTGCAACGCCTCATGGGCCGTGCGCTTCGCTTCGCTCGCGTCGTTCGCCAGCTTGTCGAACCTGCCGAACGTCTTCTTGAACTTGTGATTCTGTCACCCCGCGAAGGCCCTCAACCACTTGGGGGCGTCGTCGTCATTTATCGCGTCGGGGCCGGACGGCATCGCGGAATCTTCCGCCCTTGCGTCCATGAACGCATCCTGCTCGCACCTGGGTCTGCGTCGCTCTGGTATCGAACCCGTCGCGCCACCCGTCCGCTTTTGAAAATTCCCCACGATGTACCATCCCCGGCCGACCGAACACAAATACTGTCGGGTTGAAAAGTGCAGCTAGGATCCCGCACGGTTGCTCGGATGAGATTGGCGCGCAAGGTCACCAGGCCGCGACGAAAGGAGGCGAGCATGGGCTCAGATCGGCAGCGGCAGCAGGTACCATCACCAATCAGTGCCCGCTCTGCCGTGCGACTTCTCTGGAACACAAGCGCTGCCTCGCCGACGATACCAGACTCGATTCTCCATTGACTCCCGTCGAAGATCCCTCATGTCCAGTGTGTCATGATCTACAGCCATTTCTGCACCGATCGGCTCTGCAAAATCACTTCTGTGCGGCACGCCTACCTGCGGAAGATCATATCATGTCCCTGGACATGAGCCTCTCCTTTGACGACCTGGTGCGTGACCAACCCGCACCATATCGAAGACGTGGCCAGCAGCATGGCGGACACCGAGCGCACCAACAAGACCCCGCGCATCAGCAAGGGCGGCAAGGACGGGAAGGGCCACAAGCACAACAAGGACAGCAGCGGCGAGGACGTGGAGATGGAGCCAGAGGGCGAGAACGCAAAAGGACAAGGCAAACGACGGAGCTCTGGCAAAGGCAGGGGCACCAGGGGCAAAAGCAACACGATTCACGAAAGGAGGAGAAGCGTACCAAGTCAAGGTCGACCCAACCTGAAGAACCTCCTGGCCATTCTCACCAACCAGGTTCTGGCCAACACCCAGCAGCTGGCTTGGCTAGTGGCGGCGACTTCCAGCACATACCTCATGCCAGTATAGGGCAACACGATCAAAACCCTGCCCGCCAACAGGAACATCTACGCGGACAAGAGCAAGGAGACGGGCAACGATCACACGTTCGGACCACCAGAAAGACTTCTCTACATGACGCGTATTCCGACCCCCTGTGCAGAGGACGTGGGAAGCACGAGGCGCAGCATACTCACAGAGCATGGCAAATTCGTGGGCGCGATCAACGCAGCTCCGGCCCTGAGGAAGGTCAAGCACCTTCGCATCAGTAAGTGTTACGACAGCAACATGGCAAGGCTCGCGCCCTACTTGGAGCGTGGCCCCGTGGACGAACGCGGACACGGAGGAACCCACCGCAGCGCAGCTCCACGCCAACATCAAGGATACCATGCACAGGGCCCTACTACAAGTGGGGGCAGTGGTGAAGGAGGGCAAGGCTCCGACAGGAGTAGTGGAGGATGAGCTCTCGACCTGGCTTGCAGGACTCTGAGTTCAGGAAGGCCGACGACCGACGCCATAGTTGGCATGGCTCGGCGTGCGCGAAGCTGTGGAGCCCTGAAGGCGCCGTGCGAGGCGGCGACGGCGGGGGCAAGGCGGCCCGTACGCACCAGGCACCTGCCCCCCCGAGGCAGCTCTTCTTCTTGGCCGCTCTTCTTCTTCTGTTATTCTCATTATTCGTATTCTTATCCTCCTTCCTCCTCCTCCTCCTCCTCCTCCTCCTCCTCCATCTGCCTCCTCCATCTGCCTCCTCCATCTGCCTCCTCCCTCTTCCTCCCTCCGTCTTCCTCCCTCCCTCCGTCCCTCCATCTCTCCCTCCTCCTCCTCCTCCTCCAACTTCTCCTCCTCCTTCCCCTCCTCTTCCCTCCTGGCGCCCCCCCCCCTGCAGACGAGAAGACAGGTGCCACAGGCAGCTTCGTGCGGAGAACGGGGCCCTTGCTGTGGTGATGTGGTTCCCAGAAACAATTTCGAGCACCCAGAAAGTATCGAAACAGCGTCTCCCCGACACGCGAGCGAAGTGTCGAACGAGTATCGCGTCCCAGGGCCCGACACGTGAAAAGCCTCCATGTATTGTACTTTTTGGTGCTCGGCCGTCTTTCTGGTGCTCAACGCTAAAGTAGGTTGGAACATCATGACTCTGGGGCAACTCATGGGAGCCTCCCATGCCGTTTTGCAGGCTTGTCAACGCTAGCCGACGCGAGTCGACGCCAGTCGAGGCAAGTCGGCGCTTTCTCATCGACTAATTGCCAGACGCTGGCGCACAATTCTGCACTTAGGAACAAAAATCAAAGCTTCGATGGCATAGGCTTCCTAGTGGCCAGCGAACGGGGCCACTCTCCTGGAGACCACTAAAAGCGAAGCCAGGGGCAGGACAAGACCGGATCGGGACAAATCGGTGATCTCTGAAGTCCAGCGGCTCTGAGGGCGAGGAGGGAGGAGGAGGAGGGGGGAGGAGGAGAAGGAGGAGGAGGAGGAGGAGGAGAAGGAGGAGGAGGAGGAGGAGGAGTGGGAGGAGGAGGAGGCGGAGGAGGGTTGTATCGGGCGCCGCGGCCGTTCCAGAGCGCTCCGGAACCGTTGAGGGCGTTCCAGAGCGCTCCGGAACGAGTGATCCTTGTCCTGGCCTGGGGCCCCTTTCCCAGAGGCCTGCCAAATGGGGTCCTGGTGCGGTGACGGAGCGTGCGGCGACCTCGGAATCCGCAAAGACCTCACCGCACAGACTGTCACCGCACGGTGTTGGAACCCTGGAGGCACCGATGGCCCGAGGCGGTCTCGAAGGAGGCCCAGGTCCCAACCCCGTGCGGGTCAAATCGAATCCCCACTGAGTGGCCACGCGGCCCTGGCCAGGGGCTGGGATGGGCTGAGATGCAACGATTCAAGGGCAACCTTGGAACTCATTCATCCTTCTGATGCGGCTTGACTGCGGATAGGGCCAGAGGATCGCGCCACATCGCCGATGCTTCGCCGTTGCCCATGTATCGGCGACGTCCGCGGTGCATCGGCGGCGCTGGCGCGGACAAACATCGCATCCCACATCAAGCTGCATCACTGGTGCATCGGCACTGCGGCGCGATCCCCCAGCCCCATCTACTCGGACTCCACTTGAAAGGCCTGGATCTTCTGGCCCTGGCCACGCCAAGGTGTACGAGTAGGGCCAGCGGGACCGCCCACATGCGTCCCCCACTCCCAATTTGGCATTTTCACCGACGCAGTACAGCGTTTCGTGGCCCCGTAGGGAGTCCCACCGAAGCCCCCAGTGGTGCCGCCCGCATGCGTCCCCCATGCACACCCAATTCGGCATTTCCACCCACCCTTTACAACGCTTCGCGGCCCCATGGGGAGCTCCACCGAAACCCCCAATGGGACCGCCCGCATGCCCCCCACCCGCCTAATTTGGTATCTTCACCCACCCAGTGCAGCGCTTCGTGGCCTCATAGCGAGCTTCACCGACGGCCCCACTGCTACCGCCCGAGGCCCAGAGAGTGTACTTCCAAGGGGACAGCACGAGCCCCCCCCCCGTCCCCGAGGCCGAGGCTGCCCTGTCTTCCGACGTCTTGGCCGCAGGCCGGGGAGCGCCGGCCGACCGCCTCACCGATGGGCCGATCCTGGGCTCGGGCATCGGCGACCACGCCGCCCAGGCCAGGCTGGGGGGGGGGGCGCATGCTCCGATCACGGGCTCCAGAGTGGGCTCATCATCATCATCATCATCATCATCATCATCATCATCATCATCATCATCATCATCATCAGCAGCATCATCATCATCGCTCCGATCACGGGCTCCAGAGTGGGCCTGGCGAGTGCCGGCGAAGGTGGTCGGACCACGCCCCCCCCCCCCGAGCGGGGCGGCGTGCTCGACCCGTGGAGGCGGAGTGCCCCTGCGCGAGGCCTTCGTCTCCGCGCCCGGGGCCCGCCATCCTCACCCGAGCAACTTAGGGCGGTATGGGACAGGGCTCGAGCCAAACCGTGGTTCCCGTCTCCGTTTTGGTGTCGCGTTCCCCCGTTCTGTCTTCGCTCCGCTTCTGCCGCGAAACGAAGTCACAAGGCAAACGGTCCATGAACTCGCCAGAACATCGTTCAGCTCGAGCCCTGGTATGGGGGGCACGGTAAGGGCAGTGGATAAGGAACCACTGGAAAAAGAACCCGGGGTCTGGATGCCGACGAGGCTACAACCATGGACTGGCCATTCACACCACCGCCGCCCTCCTCACATAAGAACGCCCCCTGGGTCTGGGGCCTCCTGGGCACAGTCCCTAACCAACGCCCCCACCAGATGGGCCTGCCCCCAGCCTGGGGCGGGGGCCCTGCGCAGGCCCGTGCACGAGGCTCTTGCCTGAGCCAGGCCGGCTGCAGGACGGCAAAGAGGAGGATGACGACGAGGAGGCGGGGGGGGGGGAAGGGAGGAAAGGGTTGGAGGCGAACCGGGGAGATGAGGCCGAGGAACTCAGCTGCCCCGATACGCAGCACGCAACCCGTAGCGTATTGACACTGAGCTCAACACGTGGACTGAAAGCGTAGGCCTGGCCCGATACGTTCGCCAAAACGTGGGCCAACACGCGCCGAGCCCACACGCAGCGTGTTGACACGGACGTTGTGAACACGGCACGTGTTGCGTTTCAAGACGGGCGCGGCATGGCAGCCGAGTCGGGGAGCGAATCATAGCATAAGCACCAACTTCCGGAGGTCCGCGCGGATGTCTCGGATCGGCGCCAGAGCCCTCTGGCGCCGCCCACGGCGCGCTCCGCACGCCAGGGAGGGGGGTCCAGCACCGATCCAAGAAATCAGCGCGGACCTCCGACCGTTCATGTTTATGCCATTCGTTGACCGACGCAAGCGCGGTGTTACGCGAGATGGCACAGCGACCGTAGGCGGTGGATTGCGCGGGCCGCCAGCGCGGCACGCTGTATTAGAGACGAGGGCGCTTGCGCGAGACCTTACGCGGGAAGCTTACGCGCAAACGTCGGTGAAGACGACTCCGTTTGTCTGCGTCGCTCATTGTTCCTCGACAAGGGGACAGGGGAGGGGGAGGTACTAGGGAGGAAAATTGTTGACTGGCGCTTCAAAAATTTGAGAAAACACACAGAAACACGAACATAAACTTTCGGAAATCCCTGCGGAGTTCGTGGATCGTCGCTGGACCCCCTACATGGCGCTTGGAGAGTGCGCCAGGGGCGGCGCCCGAGGCGCCCAAGAGGGCCCAGCGCCAATGCAAGAAATCCGCACGCACCTCCGAGAAATGATGTTTACGCCGATTCTTGTTCTACGAATATGTAGTGCCTGCAGGTGAACGCCCATTTCAGTGTCGCGTCCGCCGCCCGTCAGCATCCCCATCTACATCACCATCCTCATGCCCACCCCCTTCCCCCGAACCCCATTTCCGCATCACCGGTGACACAGGCCCCTCGAGGCCGTGCGAAGCCACTTGGATCCATGGGGCGGCCGTGGACTTCCACAGGCATCCTGCAGGCCTCTGGTGGCTCTAACCCTCCACGCGACGAAGTTTCTGGCCAGGGTTAACTCGGGCCTGTCCCCCTACAGTGCGACTTTAAACGAAAAGTGAAAATATTCTAAAAATGCCCCCAAATTACCAAACATACTGAAACATCGCCTCCAAACCATGTTTTAACTAGTTTCGAATCGTCCTCCTGTAGAGGGACAGGCCCGAGTTGAGGCCAGGGCGCGCGCGGCGAAGCGAGCCCGCGTGGCGCCGCCAGCCATTCCGTGGCGGGCCGCCAGCGCGGGCTGCGCTCTCGGTGCGCCCGACGCCGCCACGGCAGGGCCGTGAAGCCCACAGGGGGTGGGGGGAGGCGTCCGCCGCCCAAGCCGGCGGGGCAAGAGCTGCCCGCGCCCGCCGACCCGATCTTCGCCCTGGTAAGGTTTCGGGCTGCGTTCCAGCCGCCGCGGGCGCGAAAATCATATCGGATCGATCGGATCGAAGCGGCTCCTGCGCCGACTCGACCTTCGCACCTATGGCCCTAGCAGGCCTTACCTTTCACAAGCAGGGGGCAAAGCGCGCACTCCAAGGAGTCTTTCTGCCGTTTGGACCCCGCTGGAACATGGAGTAGCGCGTTCCCCAGTCCGCGACGTTGAGGTATGGGGCGTTATCCTTGCCCCCCTCCTTGGTGAAGATCAGATCGAAGCCCGCCTCGTGGTTTTCGCGGTAGGACTTCGGCATCGCCCCGACCCTCCTGAGTTTCGGCTTCACCCGCGCCTTGCAAGCATCGCACTCAAACTTTGTCTTCGCCCATCGCAGTAGCTGGGGACGTGCGCGACCCAGACGTAGAGCTCGACAGAGACCAACCATCCCAGGATGTGCCCACTTCTCCCGAAGTTATCAGTTGCGTTTGTTTTAGCGTCAATGGGCTCTGTGACATCCTCCGCCCCCTGCTCAGACGGTTCCTCCTCCGGCGCCCCCGCGTGATTTTCCTCCTCGTCGTCTTCCGGGCACGCCGCATTGATTCACCTTGCATCTCTTCCCGATCTCAACCGCAATGAACGGGGAATCGGCGACGAAACAGGTCGGCATCTCCCAACTCTTCCCCTCGGGGCTCCGCAAGCCAAAGCGGTGCTGAGCCACGTGGGCCACCAGAACTCCTTCCAGCTTCGTCAACGCCCGTGCTTCCGGCTCCTGAAAGCTCTTCGCGGCGCGCGGGTGCTCGAATAGAAAACATCTGTCTGCAGCGTGCCTCTCGGCCAACATTTTGACAATAAAACGCGAGTGCAATATGCCAGAACGGAAATCCGCCCGCGCCTTCTTCGAATCCGCGCAGCTGCAATTCCACTCCATCAACGCACAAGAAAAACCGCAGGGCGGAGAGCACACCGTGAAATCCTGGTCGCGCGCACGAGCATCCGCCAGGCATTCAGCGCGATCTTGAGCCATATCAGAATTTCAACCCATTTTGAGATCATAAGCTGCGCCTGCTCCCCAGCCTCCTCTCCAGCTCCTCCGTGACTCGAGGCTTTGAGTAAATCTCGCCGGCGTTGATCTGCTATCGCCGGCGCATCTATGCCAGCGCGTGGCGGGGTGCGTCCTTCTGCTCTTCGCCCAGTAACGCGAAGTTGTCCTCGACCTCCCATTTGACCAAGATCACCCCGGCACCCAGGCTCTCCGGCACCCCCCGGAACTCCCCCTCAAACTCTTGGTCCTTCAACCTCACTATCGCCGGCCGACTGCGTAGACTCGAGCGCGTTGGAGCTTCTTCGCCGTCTTGGGCATCTCCTCCGCGGCGGCGAGGACAACGCCGTCGCCGCCGCATTCCGCCTCCTTCTCCATGCCCAGCTGGTTCCACCTGACAAGCCTGTCGGGTGCTATGTCTTCGAGCTCCTTTAGTCCTCCCCCGAGAAACCAGCCGCAGTCCTCGCGCTCCATCTGGTCGTCGCCCCGCTTGCGCATCTTCTTCCGCCCCGGCGGCGGCGCGCCCGGCCCCTCCGGGCCAGGGCTGCCTGCGCCGACGAGCGCGAGGACGCCTGCTTCGGCGCTGCCCTCCTCGCTGTGGGCCTCAGGGGGGCCCCCCCGAAAACCTCCTCCATCGGCCCTCTTTCAGCCGCAGCAGAATCTTGCCTTGTGCGGCGCCGTTCGCAGGTGGGCTTCCGGACCCTTTCCCCATTGGCCTCCGCACTGCGCGCGCGCCATCGCTGGCTTCGCGCCGCCCATGCCCTTGATCTTCTCGACGAGACGCGGGCGCTCCTCCGCCTTCATCTCGAACTCGCCCTTCGCCTCCTTCAACGGGAAGCTCAATGTCCACATCCAGCGACGCCGGGTGCCCGGAAGAGCCCCCCATTCGTGAAACGCGAACTTCTTGTCTCTGCACTTGTGGCAGTAGATGCTGAACATCTCGACCTGTTGATCCGCGGCCACGCACCTCCTAATCTTCAGGCCCCGCACTTAGCCTGTCTTCGTCGTGCTCGCCGCGTCTGCGCACCTACCATGCACAGTCTTCCACTCCGGGCAATGCGCATCGGCTTCGGTGGCCGCGCCGCGCCCCAGATAACTCGAAGTCGCCCTCTGCCTCGCCGAGGTGCGCTTCTGGAGCCGCGACGCCAGCAAGTCCCCCTCGCCCGCGCCGCCCCGCCCGAAGCGCGTGCCCGAGCGCAATGGGTAGAAGAACCTGGTATGCGGCCGCGCCGACGCCAGTAGAACGTAGCATGGCGCCAGACGGACCCACGTCTGTCTCGCATGAGTTTTTGGAGCTCGCGCGAGACTCCTAGACTTCGCGTGGATGTGGAATCGCTGGATGCATAGCTCGAAGGAGCCCGAATCACACTCCATTGACACAAATGGCTACCGATCTGGAAATCCGACTGCTGATGCGGGGCTCCCCGAGGCATGCTCCGTCCGTCAGGTCAAAACTCTACCACCGATACAGCAACGCACCCCGTGTCCACCTGTCATGGGAACCTCGGTGTCTGCTTTCCGAAGGACAAGTTTCATGCCGTCGAAATCTACAGTGGCCTTGGACTTCCTGAGAGTCTTGATCGGAAGCAACATGTGCACGTTTCCCTCGCCAACCGCGAGCTCTAGAAGCTCATGGGATCCTCCAATACCGAAGGGCGTGATCACGACACCTCGCGGTTTTGCTCGACCTCCTGCTCCTTGAGCTCGGGCTGGTCGATGTAACCACTTGAACTTAAGGCGGAGTGTTCTCGAGAGCCTTGCTGAGCTGCTGCAAGGTTTCCGCCCGAATCGGACCCGATTGGGCCGCCGCATCTACTAGCGTTTCCCCGCCCCCAAGAGCGGATCCACACCAAACTCCAGAAACCCCTTGCTCTGAAGCGCGTTCACGTCCGAAGTCGAATAATTCTTGCACGCGTCGAAGACGACCCAGGCTGCTGGATCGATGATGGTTCTGATAAGCCCGACGTGGTCCTCTAGAGGCTACAGGACGACGCTCGTGATGATGAAGATGCTCGCACT